AGGGTTTCTCTGTGTAGCTTTGGAGCTTATCCTGGCACTCGTTCTGGAGGCCAGGCTGGCCTCCAACTCACAGAGATCCTCCTGCCTCTGCCTCCCGAGTGCTGGGATTAAAGGCATGTGCCACCAACTCCCGGCTGTATATTTTAATTCTAGTTATTACTGTGCAGTTGAGAAAAATAAATTCCAAGCGGAATTTCATTTAGAAAAAGTTACTATATTTCATAGAGAAAAAATATTTTTGCATTTGTGAGACTGCATCACATTTTCAGGTATGATTAAGAGATTCAAAGTTGGAAGTTTTTCCTATTGATTTTCACTGTCAATAATATGATTGTGAGATGTACTTGCATCCACATGTCATTAAACCTTCCTGTGACAGTGTGCCAGTGTATTTATTTTTTTGGGGGGGGCCACTGCTGTAGATGGAACTCGGTCTCACAGATGCTACACAAGCACTAACCACTGAGCTATATCCCCAGTATAATATGTGCAACTTTAATTGGAATTGTGGATATTAGGCTCACTCACAATCAGAGTGAAGAATAACAGCTTATTCATTATTGAGATAATGTGGGAAGCTGAGAGATAAAGGACTTCTTGGTACCATGCTCATTTTAATCAGAAACATCAAAAAATAAAAGTTGCTCTTGGCAAAAGTATAAGCATCAGGTTTTTTTCGAGACTTTTGATCATGTATTTTTTATGTAATTTTAGGCTTCCAGTAATTATCTGCAGGATTCGCCATGACCCCAGCTCTGAAGGAGGCAACAACAAAGGGTATCTGCTTTTCATCTTTGCCAAGTGCCATGGAATCTGACAAGATGCTGTGTGTGGAAAGCCCAAGAACTGTAGATGAAAAGCTTACAGCAGGAGACACTTTGTCTCAGATGCTGGGATTTCCGACCCCTGAACCTACTCTAAACACAAATTTTGTGAATTTAAAACATTTTGCTTCCCCTCAGGCTTCCAAACATTTTCAGACAGTTCTTTTAATGAGTTCTAATTCAACACTAAATAAGTATAATGAGAATTATAACCAAAAGAAAGGAGTGGAGTCCAACTGCTGTAAGCTGAAAAATGTACTGTGTAATGGCAGCAGCATTCAGCTCAGCAAGATCTGCCATTCTCATTCCGAGAAGGAGTTCATCAAAAAGGAGCTCTCAGATACCACCAGCCAGTGCATGAAAGACATACAGATCGTTTTGGACTCAAATCTCACCAAAGACACTAATGTAGACAAAATACATCTGCAAAACTGTAAGTGGTACCCAAAGAATGCACTTTTGGACAAATTCACTGATACTAAGATTAAAAAGGGTTTATTGCAATGCACTCAAAAGAAAATTGGACCTAGTCACTCAGATATGCCTATTAGCTCCTCAGCTGCTGAAAAGGAGGAGGAAGTGAATGCTCGTTTGCTTCATTGTGTGAGTAAACAGAAAATTTTACTCAGCCAGGCTAGACGAACTCAGAAACACTTGCAGATGCTCCTGGCGAAGCATGTTGTTCAGCACTATGGTCAACAGATGAAATTTTCTATGAAGCACCAGCTGCCCACAATGAAGCTCTTTCATGAACCCACCACAGTTTTGGGCAATAGTTTACTTGAACACTCTGAAATTAAGCCAGAAGTCAACATACTGGCTTCAGAGAATAAGTTTTGGGATGATACAAACAATGGCTTTGCTCAGTGCACAGCTGCAGAAATCCAAAGATTTGCCCTGTCTGCTACAGGGCTGTTGTCTCATGTGGAAGTGGGTCTGGATTCTGATGCCACCGACAGCAGCTCAGATGACGAGTTGGATGAATATACCATTAGAAAAAATGTGGCAGTGTAAGTGTAAAATTAGTGATTATTTTTCTGTTCTGTGTACAGTAGCAGTCAACCTTGCTTTGAAGATATGAGAAAGTAGATTTTCTAAAATCTTCATGCAATGCATGATCTTTAAGGTATAAAACTAGTGAATCAAAAAAAAGTTTTCTTTTTTCCTATACAATATATTTTGATCATATTCTTTTCCTCCCCCCCAATTCCTCTCAGATCCTCCCCTCTCCTTACCACCCAACTTCATGTACTTTCTCTTTCTCAAAAAATAAAGAAAACAGAAGAAACTAGCAAAATCAAAAAGAAAAACACTGAAAAAAGAAAGCAAGCCAGATCTAATCAAAACAAAACAAAAATCATAAACACACACACACACACACACACACACACACACACACACACAAAACCAACACCCCGGAGTCCATTTTGTTTTGGCCAAGTATTTCTGGGAATGGGACCTTTCCTGGGAGTGTGGTTCATAGACCCAGTAACACTGTATCGGAGAAAACAGATTTGTGGTTTCCCAGTGGGTACCAATTGTAAAGAGCTTCTTGATTAGGGATGAAACTGTGTCTACTTTCCCTTCTGAGTGCTGAGACTTTGGCTTTGAAATTGTGTAGTCTACATATGCTGACACAGTCTCTTTGAGTTTATAGGAGTATCGTTACTGCTGAGTATTTCTTTAGAGTCATCCACCACCTCTGGCTCTTACAGTCTTTCTGCCTCCTATTCCACGTAGGCCCCTCAACCCCAAAGGGAAAGGGGTTTGATAAAGACATTCCATTTAGAGCTGAATGCTCCAGTCTCTCATTCTTTGTACATTGTTCAGTTGTGGATCTGTTTGTTAATTACCATCTACCACTGCAAAAAGATGCTCCCTTGAGGACTGTTGAGTGAGCTCTGTGGGTATAGCAGTATGTTACTAGGAGTCATTTTATTGCTATAGTCCTTTAACAGAATAGTAGTAGTATCTAGACTCAGGTTCTTGACCACTTAAGCAGTGTCATGGATGGGTTCCATGTCGTGGAGTAGGCCATAAATCCAATAAAATAGTTGGTTACTCAGATAACATTTATGTCACCATTGCACCAGTATATCTTGCAAGTTTGTTGTGTGTAGCAAGGTTGTAGCCAGATGAAACGGATGATTGCCTTTCTCCTCCAGTAGCACGCACGTTAGTAACAGGGGTGAAGCTTCCTCTTACATACCAGCTTGATTTGTCTGTGTTTGATAACATGAGTAATTTGTGTCTTCAGCAGTTATGCCTTACCATCAGGTTATGAAGAGTAACCAATAGCCTTGGCAATAGCCCGCAATGTTTTTTTAGGTAGGGGGAGTCTATGGGACCCCTTTGACTAATGACTTAAAGGATGTAACCCATTCCTGACTCTGGAGGTTTTACTTGGTGGTAGTCTAGTTGGGACATTTTCTCCCCTTATATGTTGACTCCAATTAAATTCCTTTCATTTATGTATATTAGGAAGCTTCTGCAGTAGTCGATTTCCATATGGATTTTCAAAAGGCCTTTAGTGTATTGACTGTCTCTCTCCATATTCCTCTTTTACTCTGCCTTTCATTCCTCCTCTCAATTTAATCCACCTATTCTGGTTTCCCCTTTATATCTCTGTAACATTATACTCTTATTTCTTCTTACTTGGAGGGTTTCCTCCCCTCCCTTGGTCCCTCACTAGCAACTTAACCTCTGTGGTTATTCATATTGAAACACCCATATCTAAAACTTAAAAGCTAGCATCCAGATATAAGAGAAACATTCAATGTCTATCATTTGGGCCTGGGTTACCTCCGTTAGGATGGCTGATTTTAGCTGCATCCATTTGTCTGAAAAATTTCATGATTTTTATTTTTCTTAATAACTGAGTAATAATCTATTGTGTAAATGTAGCACATTTTCATTATCCTTTCGTCACCTGATGGACATCTGGCTGTTTCCAATTTCTGGCTATAAAAACAATGAGCATGCATGAGCAAGTTCCCAAGAGTGGTATGCCTAGATCTTGGGGTAGATCTATTCCCAGCTTCCCGAGGAAACACCACACTGATTTCCATAGCGGCTGTATCAATTTGCACTTCCATCAGCAACAAATAACAGCTCCCCTCTCCCCTACTTCTTTGCCAGCATGTGCTGTCATTCGTTATATTGATCTTGGCCATTCTGACTGGGGAAAGATGAAATCTCAAAGTCATTTTAATTTGCATTTCCCTGATGGCTAAGTATACTGAACATTTTGAAAACATTAAGGATGTCATTTGTGTTTCCTTTTGTGAACTCTGTTTAGTTCTATATCCCAGTTTTTAATTTTCCTGATGTTCAGTTTTTCTGTTCTTTATATAGTATTAAAATTGATCTTTTAGCAGATGTATAATTGATTTTATTCACCATTCTGCTGGCAGCCACTTTGCTTGAATGATGGTGTCCTTTGTTCTGTACAGAAGCTTTTTAGCTTCACAAGGCCCTATTGATTGTTGTTCTTAATGCCTTTGCTATCAGTGTCCTGGTCAGAAAATCTCTCCCGTGCCAATGAGTTCAATCCTGTCCCCAATTCCTCTTCTGTCCTGTTTCTCTTCTGTAAGGTTCAGGGTATCTGGTCTTTTGTTCAGGTCTTTGGTCCATTTAGAGTTGAGTTTTGTGCAGGATGATAGATATGGATCTATTTACATTCTAAAGGCAGTTATCCTGTTTGACCAGCACCATTTGTTGAAGATGCTGTCTCTTCTTCAGTGTATATTTTTGGTTTCTTTATAAAACATCAGGTGTTTGTATGTATATGGAGTTATATCTGGCTTATCAGTTCTATTCAGTATTCTGTTAGTGTGTGTGTGTGTGTGTGTGTGTGTGTGTTTTCAGACAAAATTTTGCTATGTAGCTGTGGCTGGCCTGAAGTTCACTCTGTAGACTAGGCTGGCTTCCAATTCACAGAGATCTGCCTACCTCTGCCTTCTAAGTGCTGGAATTAAAGGTGTGCACAAACCACCTCAACATGTCCATTTTATGCCAGTCCCATGCTGTTTTGATTACAGTAGCTCTGTAATAGGCCTTGAAATCTGGGATGATGATACCTTAAGATGTTTTATTTCTTAAGCTATATGTGTGAGTCAGATATGCTAAGTGTCAGCCTCAGGATCTTCTCTGCAAATACTCCAATCCACAGGCCTTTTTAGGTCTATTATATAAAATGGTGTAGTATGTGCATCTATGACATTTTCCTTATATACTTTAGACCATCTCCAGGTTAATTACAATACTTAAAACAAGGTAAATACCATGAAAATAATTGTTACACTGAATTGTACAGGGGATAACAACAAGGTTAAGAAAAAAAAAAAAAAAACTCTGCATGTTCCTATGGAAGCAGTTTCATCAATGATAGGAATTTTCTGTATGTTTGGTATATAATAAGTTTTATATAGCTATTGAGTTCTCAATTGTTATAATTTGTGATTGCTTGAATCTGCAGATGTTACAGTATCTATGGATATGGAGTACTAAACATATTTTTTAAAAGTAAGTTACTTTGCTTTCTGGGAAAAAACACACAGGGATAATAATACTAAAACCTTGAACGTTTAAGCGATTCCATGGGGATACCCACATTAGCTTTGTGAATTAAATAGTGAGTACATGTAAAGTGTTACTCCACTTTATAGAGGGTTGAGTTGAAATGGCCTTCTTTGAACTCATTATGTAGTCAGGGATGGCCTTGAGCTCTTTTTACTCTTGACTGTGCTTCCTAACTGCTAGATAACATGCATGTTTTTTATCTGCTAGGGATTTGTTTGTTTTTGTTTCCGACAAGAGAGAATATGATCATATTTCAATTCATAATCTCTATTCAACCTGGCATTATAACAAAGTAAATAGAAAACTGATTATTTCATCTGCAGTACATGATGACCTGCTAAGAAGAACTAAGTTTTCAGTTTAATTTGACTTAAATTTAATGTAAACAGTCACATAAAGCACAATTTAAAATTTCTTGGGATCTGTTAATGTTCCTAAATTGATACACATTCCTGAATATGACTGTGACATTTTGGGCAGAAATAGTTTGTCTTTTTTTCAAATTCTCCAGAATGGATAATCATTATAGAGTTAGAAACAGTATTGCTTTTACTAATTGATATAGAATTAATGTATTATTTTTTATAATGAGTAAAATGTGATAAAGTGAGCATTCCTGTCTTTTGGTGTTCTGATGTCACTATAGCTGAAATTTGCTTGGCTGTGAGAACTAGGGTATACTAAGCACACATTATTTTTCAGGCTGCCATTTTGCTAGCTAATTATATGTGATAATCTCATTTAGTTCTGTCAATCATGGGATGTAGTTGTTACTACTCTTATTTCACTTAAAAATGAACAATTCCTCCAACATATGGCCATGCTCAGATCTATGGCTACTTTCTAGATGTCATGCTTCAGACATCACTGACACCATTACTGAAGGCTTTTGTGCAAGCCAGAATCAGTTCCTAGAGGCAGCTTGATTATGACATCTCAGGTGGAAAAGAGGCCAGAAAGAGCCCATCAGTCTTCCTACTAAAACGTACAATAGCCCTTGCTACCTCTGTGGACACCCAACCTAAGGTACTGAGAACCTGTCTGTAGTCTGCTGCTCTGGCCTCAGGTAACAGATGGAAATGTCTTGCCTCTGCCCTTACTGAACCAGAGCTACTGCACCTCACCTTGTGATGTATACAAATATACATAAATCATAAGTACAATTAATAGATTTCTCCAGATTATATTTGTTATTTTATTTAAGGTATATCTTTAAATTGGTGTTGTCTTAGCATTGAGGAAGTGCAGTGGTTGAATTTGTGCAATATTTTTTAAAGATTGTTTATGATGTTAACATTTATTGCTTTTAAAAACTACATAGTTCTCTTACATTTGAAAGTGTGACTTTTATGGATATTTGTTATAGAGTAGAATGATGTGACTATGTGAAGTTTAATTTGGATTATTTCCAAACCCCTTCAGTCATATT